ACAAAGTTGTTGAACAAGACAGGTCCCAACACCGATCCCTGAGGGACACCACTCGTTACTGGTCTCCAGCCGGACATTGAGCCATTGACCACAACTCTTTGTGTGCGGCCATCCAGCCAGTTCTTTATCCACAGAGTGGTCCATCCATCAAATTGATGTCGCTCCAGTTTAGAGACAAGGATGTCGTGTGGGACAGTGTCGAACGCTTTGCACAAGTCCAGGTAGATGACATCAACTGCTCTATCCCTGTCCATCAGTTCCGTAGCCCTATGATAGAAGGCCACCAAATTGGTCAGGCAGGATTTCCCCTTAGTGAAGCCATGCTGGCTGTCACCAAGCACCTTGTTGTTTTTCATGTGCCTTAGCATGCCTTACAGGAGAATCTGCTCCAAGATGTTGCCAGGCACAGAGGTGAGACTGACTGGTCTGTAATTCCCTGGGTCATCCATTTTTCCCTTCTTGAAAATGGGGGTTGTGTTTCCCTTTTTCCAGTCATCGGGAACTCCACTTGACTGCCATGATTTTTCAAATACGATGGACAGTGGCTTCGAAACTTCATTTGCCAGCACCCTCAGGACCCACAGATGGATTTCATCAGGTCCCATGGACTTGTGCATGTTCAGGTTCTTAAGATGGTCTCGAACCAGATCCTTTCCTACAGTGGGCCCAAGGTCTTCATTCTCACAGTCCCTGCATCTGCCTTCCAAGATTTGGGTGGTGTGGTCAGAGCCTTTGCCAGGGAAGACTGAGGCAAAGAAGTCATTAAGAACCTCAGCCTTCTCCAAATCCAGGGTTCCTCCTGGTTCTCCAAATCCAGTTCTCCTGATAGCTTCAGGAGAGGGCCCACGTTGTCCCTAATCTGTCTTTTATTTCACTGTAACTATAGAGTCCCTTCCTGTTATCTTTAACATCCCTAGCCAAGTTTAATTCTAACTGGACCTTAGCTTTCCTAACCTGGTCCCTAACTTCCTGGACAATGGATGGGTCTCAATGTTGAAAAGCAAAAGTGTTGTTAGAAATGTGTTGCTCACACTTGCTTATTATAGTGAACCCCCAACAGAAAAAATAAATTTGATTTCTTATAAGGAAATGTGTTTAGATGCTTCATTGCATTCACACAGCTGTGGGATAGCTGCATGCTCTTGGCTGCAGCAGCTTCCCAGCTCCTGCAAGGCTGTTGCTTATGGTTGCCTTACCCTGAGGTTTCAGATCGAGGTAAAAGTTGTAAATGAGCAGCAGCAAAGTGCTGACAAGGGGCACGTGACAGAATAATTGTTCATTACCTTCCTGTCCAGTCAGCTCTCCCTGTTTGAGGAGAAGGGTGTAACAGCATTGATGTCCTGTCAACACACAACCTACCACATGGCAGGAAAGTCAGTCAGTGTGGTGTCAGTCGCTACTTATTTATTCTCTTAGACATTGAATTGCCACAGCCTGTCAAATAGCTCTGTCTTCAGTCTCATCTTAAAAACTCCTCACCTAGACCTGATTTGAGCAAGCTCTAAGTGTTTGCTGTATGGAGTGGTACCTGTGACATTTCCTACAATAGCCAAGGAAGAAAGATTCTTTCCATAGCAACAACACAGCAGTGATGTTTTTCTTTCTGATTGTCTATGGTTATTGGCTGAAATAGTATCAACCCTTCAAGACACAAACATTTTTTTACTAAACAATATTGCCTTCAGAATTAAGACCTTAATATTTTTGTGCACCATGTTGTCCCATATAGGAAGCTGTTCATGTGTGTTATGTGTAACACCATTGTATCAGAGGAAGAAATTGTAGAAATGCAGTTAAACATAATCATTAGACGCTTACTTTATCTTTGTTTTGTATACCGCCAACATCTGTTCCTCAGTATTGTCAATGTTTTACTTTGCCACCATGATTGCCATTCACTGTTTACTTGCTGCATTTTTAACATTTAATCATTCATTAGAAATTTTAAAGATCTACAGAGGTGATAAACTGTGAAAAGATGCCTAAAATCGGGTTGAATTTTATTTCATTCTGTGCATTTACTGCTGTCATTGTTAGTTGAGATTCCCTTAGCACACTATACTCTGCCTGTAATCTAATCTGTCCTGAAGAGGCAGGCAGCAGTGTATGAAGTGATTATAAGGATCTTCAAGTGTCCTCAAGGATTTTCTGTACTTGGACTGCAAAAGCATTTTGCTTTGTGTTGATAGGATAGGCACAATAAATCCCACCGTTACAGTTCCTAGAACACCAGCTATTAATAAGGAATAATCTAGAGGGCAAAGAACATGATACAAATTCATCACAAGTGGACTCAGAAATAATCCTATTGGGTTTGACTGTGTTGCCTGGCATCACAGTGGCTGTGAATTTCAACCCTTTGCTGCAAGTCAGATAAGGTTAGCTCTCCCTCCTGCCTGGAGAACATAGATTTTTCTGACTTCAGTGTTTTGCAATGCAGTGCTTTCTGCTATTCTCTATTTTTTTATTATTTGGTATAAATATGTTGCACCTGCAGCCATGTGCAGCTATAAAGGCATCATTTTTTTTGACTGGAACACATTCTTTCTTGCTACCTCTTAAAGGCCACTGCCTGCATGTTACCTCACTGCTTCATTTGCCATAAGACTCTGGAAGTGTGAAAGCTGAGTTTCGCATTTTCAGATGTTTGGGATATTAAAAAGCAGCAAGGGATTATATCACTACTGCCTGCTCATTCCTACTGCAACTGGCTTGTACATTAGTCAGAGATCTTCCCTTTCTACTCTAATGGTCTGAAAAGTGTGCAGTCCCTGGGGCTCTGGAATAGCTGCTCACGTGGCTGTGGGTAGCTGCTGCCTACTCAGGGGATTTTACTGGTTTGTTTTGTATTAAACTGGTGCTGCTCTAAACTAAGCCCGACTACTTCATTTGTCCAGTTGCTTTTCCATCCTGCTGGCAGACCCTGCTCTTGTTGTTTTGCTTGATATAAACCCGTCTGGCTGCCCTAATGTAATCTGTTCACTCAGCTAATTCCCAGGTTGTTTATTATGGACCCTGTCCAACTCCTGCCGAAGACAACACAACCTTCAGCTGCCTCGGCAGCTGTTGGACCAGGCCTATAAAACAGGGATTTTTTGCTATTTTCAAGATATTAAGAGCTTGGGTTACTTAAAAACTGTACAATATGTTTTGATGAGGATGAAAGGATGAAAGGTAACTGGAAAAATTGCCTTTGAGGTGCACCTTCCATTTTCTAAGCTGTTTGTAGACACTTTGGAGGAAAAGACATTATTTGGAACAAGGTAGTCACCCAGAACCCTGAAATGGTCAGGAGATGGAGATACTCCCATCAGGAAGGACTTCTCACCCCTTTCAGCCTCCTCTCTGTAAGCAGGGGAGCCTATTGTCCTTCAGTTGTGTAGGCAACAAGTTTAGACTAGATATCTGTTCTACCAGACAGCCACCAGTGGATCCTGTGAAAACACAGGAAGATCTAGGATGGATCCCACCTTTTTACCCTTGTGAAATAAAACTTTTTGGTTATTTTGATCCAAGAACACAGAAGGTTGAGGATACAGTCCTCTAGGTCCCTTGGGGAGCTCAAATTCACCTTGGGGAGAAAGGGAGCTTCTCACCACAGGAAAAAATTCGCATCAACTGGGGGGAGCATCAATTTCTTCTTCCCAGTTCCAAAGAGGAAAGACAGTAGATTTGCTTCAAACAGTGGTACATTTCTCGCTATCTGCTGCTGACATGTAATGATACTGTATTATTCTTCATTTTTAAAAGTATTACCTTGGTCTAGAACAGACATTTTATTGAATGCTCATTAGACACTCCGGTGTTCATAAATCCATCTCTGTGGCCCAGAGACTCTATTCTAACAACAGTGTGGAAGTCTTGTATAAATTATTTTGTAGTTCTACTTAAGTTATCCATACATCATATTTTAGTTGTGACTGTCATTCACATGCCAAATTCTCAGGCAGGTTTGTCGATAGCGAATAGCTAATTCAGGTATAATGCTAAGCTTCCAGTAAAACTGATGTTGTTGCCTTTTGAAGCAAACTCATTCCGGCTCCAAATCTTAAACCCAAAGGGCATCAGTCATTAGTAAATCTGCTGCACAATGTGGTATGTAGCAACTTGCCTTAAATAAAATATAATTAAGGTGATTTAACGTAAGGTGTATCCAATAGTATTCCTTAACGGTTCATTTAAGGGAAACAAATTGCCAGTTTTATTGTTTGGGTACGTTCTCTTTTTTTTTTTTTTTTAAGAGGTTTTTGTTTGTTTTTTTTTTCCTCAAAGACCTGTGACTACCCAGATTACTATTACTTAGTAATAGATCCAATTTGTGGCTAAAAGGAGAATAAAAAAACACAGTAATAGTTTAGGGTAAGGGAATCTATCTTTGGTAAAATCTTTTTAGATTTTATCTGCATTTTGAATTAAAATTGAAATTTGTCTTTACCAAGTAAGAGGCAACTTCTGGGTTGCTCTGTTTGATTCTGGCTATAAAGGTTTATCTAGAAGGGCTTTCGAGCTCTTTGGTTTCAGTGTACACTGCAGCTACTCCATGTTTGGGGTAAGACCAACTGAACATAGCCATTTGTAGCAACCTGGTTCCCACCAGAGGTATAAACAAATGTAACTCATTCAGCTCGGATCCTTCAGAGGGGTGACTGGGATGGAGGGCATGCTGCAGCACAAAGCTACTGGTGAGCAACACCTTGCAGCATCCATTGCTTACCTAGTGACTTCAAAGGCAAAGTAGGATGGCAAAAAATTCAATGTAAGTACAGTTTTCCAGACCATGAAAAGACAATCCAATCAACATGCATTTAAGGCTTGTTAGTTTTCTTACAGTATACACGTAGTAGTGGATGCTGCCCAAAGTTTCGACCCATTCCCAAGAGTGACCTATCATCAGAAAACTCAGAATCCAGCACACTGCTTTTCTACAGCCTCCAAGCTAATAGTTATTAATTATTAATAATTAAAATACCAATTCATATGTGGGTTTTTTTCCTCTGCAGGTAACATTTTGACACCAATATGGGAAAGCAAAACAGCAAACTACGCCCTGAAGTCATGCAGGATTTGCTAGAAAGTACAGACTTTACAGAACACGAGATCCAGGAGTGGTACAAAGGCTTCTTGAGAGACTGTCCAAGTGGGCATTTATCTATGGAGGAGTTTAAAAAAATATATGGGAACTTTTTCCCTTATGGGGACGCTTCTAAGTTTGCGGAACACGTATTCCGCACTTTTGACGCCAATGGAGATGGAACAATAGATTTCAGAGAATTCATCATAGCCTTGAGCGTAACGTCAAGAGGGAAACTGGAGCAGAAGCTGAAGTGGGCATTCAGCATGTATGACCTGGACGGGAACGGCTACATCAGTAAGTCAGAGATGCTGGAAATCGTGCAGGTATGTGCTGCTTAGAGGCACCTCTTGGCCTCCCTCCTTGCAAGCAAATTATGAAGTAATGTTGCAATGAGACACTGAACAAAAAACTCTGGCAACATTTGGGGGTTTATGATCTTGGTTATAACTGCTTGAATATAAAATGTTATTTCACTTGGCAAAGATCATCTCACAATTCAGACTACAGCATTTGATATCCATTGCAAGTCCTTCCTGAACAACATGCTGGGAAGTCGTCCCTTGGGAGCTCTGCTGGGCTGGAGCACAGCAACTAACCTGGTGATAAATGTGATTCTGTCCTCTGGGAAATCACTGACAATTAATTGCAGTTAATTACATTTGGACCGAGTAGACATCCTAGATCAACCAGGTATTGTACTTTTAAGGAAAGCAGGCTGCTTACACAGTAACAAACAAATCTCATTTGAAATCATGCTGTTATGAAGAGCCAGCTCACATATTTTAAAAGGTGTCTGTCTGCCTATTTCCAGTAAGGTCTGCATACTTAGCATCATGCTAGCTGTCTTTGTATTAAGTGCCAGGATAGACAAACCTTATCTGGGTAGACAATGATTCCATACGCAGCTTCTCAAGATGTATTTTCTTGTGGTGCTAGTAGGAGTCCCACCTCATTTTGGCTTCCCGTAACATGTTTTTGTCCTTGAGGCACATCACTCCACTAAAAGCTTTAAAACATTTTTGATATGGCAGTGTACTTACACATCTTGAAGCTGTATAGTGCAGCCCTGTTAAAAAAAAAGAAAAAAAAAAAAAAGGCTGTTATCAAGATCCTTTCTTTCCACAGAAATTTTGAAGTGCTAACAGTGGAATGTATTATTCAGACTTCTATTTGTTCTGGAAATCAAGGGAAAGGAATGCCCACAAATTACAGGCTGTGATGGCAAACTGCACATATGGAGTCAGCCTACTCCATTGTCCTTCTACCTTGGGCTTGTTTTTCTACCAGATGCCCTTGTCTTTCTACCAGGGCTCTTCTCGTGTCCTCCAAACAGTAGCTAACAGCAGCACTTTCACTGGTTCAGCAGTACCAGATACAATTCTCAGCTGCAAATGTAGGGTTGTGTCTTTCACTTACTCTGTTTTGCCTTCCTGTGTCTGAGTAGCAAAGCAGATAGCATTCAGATGCAGAGACCTCCGTGCCTCTGTGCCATGACAAGCCCCATGGAATATTTGAATTAGAAGATCCTCTGTTCCTCACAAATCTTCCTCTCCCCTGGGTAAGGTAAACAGGTTGTCATTTATTGTTTTTCTAGCGGTATTTCTCCTCTTGAGAAAACAGAGAATCCCAAAAGAACTAGCAAAGTACAAAGCAAACACAAGGAGCCAAACCCCAGCAAGCTCCTGCTCCTCAGGAGGAGACGCCCCAAGGACCACAGGACTCCTGGCTGCTGTTGAGCAGCCCAGGAAGGCCTCAGTGCTGAACGGCAGCACAAACCCCTAGATCAGAAGAATCACAAAGAGGGAGGACAATAAACACATCAGTGGCTGTATTCTCTGTAAGGAGCCAAGCAAGGAGCAGCAAAGCTGGCAGCATTTTCCAGTTAGCCCCGATCAGCTCATGAGCGTATTTAGAGGTTGAAATGCTCTGACTCCTCTTCATAATCATGTTGGTACCAAATTGTAGCATTGTGCTTTACAGTCATGATGCCATCATCAAATGAACCTGAAACTTAGGAATCAGTGTAGGACAACATATAGCCAGTTTGTACATCCAACCTAAAGCAGCACTTGGACTGCATACAGCCCTCAGCCTGGCACTCTTGGGAGATTTGGCTCTCTCCTCCTTTCAGATTGCAGCTGAGTGATTCTCTCTCACATTTGCTCTCACTCCACATTTTGAGGGACCCCACAAACAGCAATTATAGAAGTAAACAGCCTCGTTTGCCAGAGCAACAGTGATTTCTGTACCATGGACCATCAACAGTTTCCCAGAGCTGCCATTTCTGTGATGGAGCTTCTCCCAAGGCAATGTTCTTGTTATCTCACCTTGTTCTCTTCTTCCAGTTTTTATGGCCACAGTGATCTGCCTGTATTGCACTGGTCATCTGTAGCTCCTCCCGGTGGGATAAGATTTGTGTAGTCTCTGAAAGCATGTTTGGATGACATGTGAAGCTGAAGTAGATGAGCACATTTTCTGGCTTTATCAAGAGGTCCCCTTGATATAGAGTGATTAGACCTAAAAAAAAACCAAACCAAAAACAGCTAGCAACTATCACTTTCATTTAGAAAAGATTATTAGTTTTTAATATGGGAAGACAGGATTCTGTATCAAATGTCTTCCTAGAAGCCCTTAGCCATAACAGTTTCTATAGTGAAAACCAGAACTCTGCTATATCTCTGATACATGCCTCAGAAGAAACTACTACAAGTCCCTTATCTAGCATACATTTGCATATTGGTATAGCAGGATTTATTATGTTTTCATTGGGATTTTTGCATGAGACAATACATCAAAATGAATGCTAATGAAACACCATCAATCTAAAAGTCTTAGTTTCAGAGAAAAATACTGCCCTCTGTTACTGTGGGATTACTGTATCTTAAATAGCATAGTGACAAAGCATGCTTTTCTTCTTTTTCGGTCTGCTTTTCTTTGTGCTTTGAAAGTTGTCTCTGTAGTGATTTTCAGTGTTTTGCTGAGGGTCACTCACATTGCCTTTCCCATGCTCTGGCTAATCTAACACCACTGCAGGCAACGCTGACATTGAACCCTTGCTCAGCATTGCAAGAAAGCCCTTGCGGTAACAGTGCTAACAGCAGCAGCACTGGAAAAGCAGAGCTACTATAGGATAAGATGGCTCATATCCCACAGAAGCCCTAATAATGGGTCAGCTGCCAAGGAAATAAACATGAATGGTCCATATGAAGCCTGTTTTCTCTGCAAAGGATGGGACAGAGGGCAAAGCACCTCCATTCTGTTAAACTCTGTTTACCTGAAATGCTGTTAACCATGTTTGCATAGCCTATCATGGACTCACCATGCCTGTCCATGCCCTTAGACAAGTCTCCAAAAGCAGCTCTCTGCTTAGAGCTGGCTGCACACTTTGGAGGATCACATAACATGAAGGACTTTAGTGGTGGGCTGATTAGGCTCTGATGATTGCAGAGCTTAATGAAAGAAGGTCCATGGGATACTGCTCCACCTACCAGGCATAGCACATCTGCCAAGTACTGTGGGAAGATGCTTCCTAGCCTGCCCTCTTGACAGACCTCGCCACAGACCCTCTCAGATTCTCCTGCTCTAGAAATGCTTTTCATGTCTGCCATATGTTTACCTATAATCTAAATAGCCCAGTGCGCTCAAAAATAGCTGCAAACCAGCTAGAATATTTGTGTTTGTTCCACTTGCTGAAATGGGAAATATTTGGTGAGTCTCTTAAAATAAGAGTTCAAATAAGAGATGGAAACCTTGTTCTAAGGATACGTTTTTTCACCATATGGAGTCATAAGGCATCTTAAGAATACTGAACTGAGAGACAAGAATAACACTTACAGTTTAATACAGACAGAGCACACACGTTGCACTTGCTGGGCTAGCTTATTTGTAAGCCAGGAAGAAACAGAAGCTGATAGGGGAAGAAGCAGAAGCTGATTGGGCTCTCAGTAAAGACAGTGTCAAAAATCCCCATGAGATTGAGAGGAAAGTAATTATTTCAGGCTGATTATTCATTTAATGAGATTTTTAGCTGTCAAGATTTATTTCAACAGAGTGAAAAAGCTCTACTGAAAATTTGTGCTGTCATTGCTGCCATTACTGTAAGTTGCTCTGACACTTTGCCAGCTATAGCGGGAAAGTGTAGCCCCAACAAAGGTTTCTGGGTGGCAGCTAGTGACTAGGAACCAAACCTGTGAGCATGGGCAAAGGGGTGAAATTTTCCCTAAATCACCCCTCACTGTTCACCCACATGCAGGTGGGAAATCCAGGGGGAGAGCCCAGCAGAGAACCAGCCAGTCCAGATGAAGCTGGAGGCTGTGCTCACTCCATCAATGCACACAGGGCTCTAGAGGCACAGTGTCTTGGTGGCATTGAGGAGCCCTACTAACAGAAAGTCACCCTGACTCGGATGGCTGATGGATAACCTCCAAACCTCCTCCTGCTGAATACCACCAATGGCTTTCATTCAGCCCAAGTGCTGCAAGGCTGAGGAGTCATACTCCACGTGAAGTGGAGGCCCTGCAGCCTTTCAGTACCAGGTTACAGCCCAGGGTTAGTACAGCCCAGCTCCACGTAATTACCACATGAAACCAGCTTCCTTTCAAAGCTTGCTCTTTCAGACATGCAATAAAGAGCTCTGTGTAGCTTCTCTGAATTAATATGGGGCAAGGCTCAAAATTCTTAAGCTGGCTTTAGCTGGCTTTTACTTTGGGAAAACTTCCCACTGAACTTCTGAGTAAGGACACAAGAATTTGTCCAGAGTAACCATTTTCAGCATGAAAGGAACGCTTACTATGTTATTCCCATCTGGCTTTCCTAGAATATCTCATCTGTTATTCCCTTCACACGCCTCTGTGAAAAGGACTCTGTAGGATGAAGTCATCCTGAAGTGCTTTTTTTTTGTCCTAAAAATCTGCATATTCTTACTATGGTTACTTTGATCAGGGTAAACACGCCTGTGCTCCCGGTTCGGGCATTCCTCCCACACTTTCTATGCAGATTCTCTGCTTTGCCGTGCTCTCACCCAGAGCGAGGGAATGACCCCTCCAACTCTCTTCCTACCCCAGACAAAAGCCAGAAAGCTTAAGATGCTAAACTTTGGCAGATTTACAAGCCTCATCCCTGCAAGCCTTGCATTCTGATGAGGATGAGGAAGGTAGTAAACTCTTACTGTCCACCCTCTTTTTCTTCCCTTATTGCCTCCCTCCCCCAGCTCCCTCATCCCCATGTTCGTGTGCTTGCATGTTCATCCTTCTGATTCCCTGGTTATGAGATGATCAGGGTTGTGTGGACAGCATCCCTGCCTCTACTGAGACTCTGCCCAATATTGCAGCACCTTAATTCTCTTGAGAGTCTTTGGGCACTTCTGCAGCACAAAACATTACGATAACAGTGATAGTGATGATGCTGGTGATGATCATGATGGTGATGATCATGATGATGATGATTAAAAGGGTGCCCACCCCTTTTCCGTTCAGCCAGCAGCTGTTCTTGCTGAAATGTTCTGCTACATTCCCCTGGTTGCATCCATAGCCAGCATTACAGACTTAGCAGAGGGCAGACCAGGAAATCCAGTTCCAGTGTTGGTGACATAACTGAGGAGCAGATGTTTGATTGCGCTGAGCATAAACCAGAAATAATTAATTAAACAGAAAAATGCCTTTCTCACTGTGTAACTCTTCAAGTTATTTAAAGGCCAGGAACCTGAAAGGTGAGCTGCTGGCAGAGGAGAAGCCAGCAAGATGGCCAAGGAAGCGGATGCTCCCTAGTCGGGATGTAAATATCTGTGCTGCTTAGCAGCAACCTCCAGCTGGTGAGTTTGTGCTGTTACGTTCCTGAAGTCAGCCCTTGCGGGCTGTGGGCCAGACGATGGGAGTGTGCTAGGAAGAATGGGGATAGGGGAGATCCAGTGAGCAATCTTGGACTTGAACCAAGGACCCCCCTTTCCAGATCAGGAGGAAGTGGAGAGCAAACAGCTAAAGAAATCATACCCTACAGCAACCACATCTGCCCTAAGTTATCAACTGATGGCTGCAGGCACCGTGTTTTGAGGGCGGAACAAGAATTTGAATCTTTGAAAGCAAGCTACCCACATCTATAGAGCAGGGTTGGAGGGCAAAGTGACTGCTCAGTGTAGTGCCTGTCAACCAGAGCTGTGATTGGAAGCAGAAGGACCTGGTCAGCCCAGGGCAAGGCTGCCTTGGCTGGGATGTGCCAAGGGGCCAGAAGGGACCAGAAGGCTCCCCCGAGGCCACCACCCTGCAGTCATCTGACTGCTTCTGTTCTCACAGCTGTGTGGCACCACAAAGGTATCTGAGGAAAAAAACACTTGAGTACTGGTACTGCATGCTCACATGTGCAGGCAACATTTGGATGACCAGTTCAGAGCCAACTACTCATCCTTGGTTTAAAATTAACAGTACCTCTCATTTAGGGGCAGCTAGTACCATCCGTGACTAATGGATTTGTCTGTGCAGAGAATAGCTATGGGTAGCACCAATGCCATGTGGGATTAGACACCTGCTCTCTGTGGAATGAATTGTGAATGGGGTTTTGGGCTGTGCATGCATGCCAATCCCTGACAAGGAGGAAAAGGCCACCTCCTTGCTGGTCAAGTCTTCATTAGCTGTGAGACATGGCAAATGCAGGAGAGAGTCACTGCCTCCCTGTGGGCAGGGTGCTGACCAAGAGGGGAGAGACAGGAGATAAGGGAAGCAAAGACAGGATGAGGGGGATAGGGTGGTGAGGATGGAGCCTGAGTAGTTGAAGCATGGAGACACATCACAGAATGGGACAAAACCTCAGCGGTCTCACCATTCCCCCTGGGCTCTGGGAGCTGCCAGGGCCTAATGTGCTGTGAAAGTGATAAATTCATCTGAAGTCTGGTTTAATACAGAAAAATGTAACCTCGGTCCAAACCCAGATCGTGTTAGACCATGACTAAATAAGGAAACACAGTATTCCATAAATGAGCGTCCCGCTGAGGAGGGCAGCTGCATGCACTGGTGCCACGCGACTCCCTTCAGCATCCAGAGAGGAGGTCTAAGCCAATGTTCCCAGGATATTTTCTGCCTGTTTCTGTCACCAGGAGAAAATCTGCATTAAGATAATGTGTTTCTTACCAGCTCTTTGCTCCTGTCATATCACACAGGCAATCTATAAGATGGTTTCATCTGTAATGAAGATGCCGGAAGATGAGTCGACACCAGAGAAGAGGACAGAGAAGATCTTCCGCCAGATGGACACCAACCGTGATGGTAGGCACCCTCCAGATGCCTCTGCCCCCGTGCTGGATGACTGGGGTGTCCTGCCTACACGGGGTGACCCCTCAAACCCACCACTCCTCCCTCGGCTCCCCAGGCAAAGCCACACCACACACAGCCAGTGGGGTGTAGGCAGGCAGGGCTTTGCCTCGTGGGGCTGCTTTCCCAGGGATTTTCCTGGAGTTCTCCCCATTTCCTTCCACCATGCTTGTTCAAAGGCTTGGCACGTGTGCTGCAACCAACCGCATGTGCTAAGCAAACGTGTTTCTCTTCTAGGAAAGCTCTCTCTGGAGGAGTTCATCCGAGGCGCCAAGAGCGATCCATCCATAGTCCGTCTCCTGCAGTGTGATCCCAGCAGCGCCGGGCAGTTCTGAACCCATTTTTGGATGAATACTGTATCTGCTTTTTTTTTTCCTTGCCAAACAACATTCATGGTAGTGTTGCCTCTGTACGGCCAATTATGCCTTCATTTGTGGCATCTTATAGCTTCTTTTGTTGTGGATTAATTATAAGAATGCTGAATTGCTCTTAACAAGTTGTCCAGAGCACAGGCAGTACTGTTTTAAACAGATATTGTGGTGTTATAATCGTTTTAAAGATTTCCTTTTGGACTTTTCTGTTTTAACGTGTCTGTTTTGGAAAGTACACGTTGAGAAGGAGTGAACCAACAACAAAGCCCTTGGCAGCAAGACACACTGACAGATTTTAGATTGCTGCTTTAGTCACTGAGTATTCACCCGCAGGACCCAAAAGCGTAGTAAAGAATGAACTGAAGTGGTTGTGATGGGTTGGGTAGGATTCACCTGGAGCTCTTCCTCTCCTGTCCAGGAGGCACCAGTTGAGGTCAAAGACAGGATAGGGAGGAAGTATGAAAGTGCAAATCATGTGTGGGGTGTATTGCCTGCACCCCTGCTCCAATGCCTCATTGTTTCAATGCTGTGAACATTTTCCAGGTTGTGAAGGAGAAGGGGCAAAAACAAAGGTTGACTTTTTTACTAGGTTTACAGTGGTTGATTTCACATAGCTTTGTCTGAAAATTCAGCAATCTGCAATCCTGATCCCCAAATCCACAACTGACGATACCTCTTGCCATTTGGGATCAGCAAAGGCAGACACAGAATATGGAAAACTGGGTCTTGACAATGAATTTAAGGGAGATACATGTTGAATGTGAAACTTTCAGGTTAGTAATAAAGCAGTTTCTACTAAGGAGAGTGGGCATTCATGTGAGGAACTCACAGACACCTGCAAGCAGCTCCAGCTGAGGCACATCTGCTGCCCTGAATGCTCTTGCATAGAAGAAAGTTTTGAGGGTGTTTTTGTCTCTCTCCACATAGCTAACAGAGTTTCTAGGCCTGCTCTTAGGGAAAGGCTGTCATCAAAACTTGTTTTAAACATAAAATTGTAGCATTTACATTTCATTTATTTAGTAAAGTTCAAAAACTCTGTACTGAAAAGAGGAAATGGTACGCTTTATGGTATATTTATATATATAAAATTAAAACAAAAAAAAAGATCAGCTCTTGAGAGAAATGTTGAATGTTTATCTTTTCGCCTAGATGCAGGAGTTCTGAAATCTGCTGCTGCAAAACTTCAACCTTTGGTCAAAGTTGCTGTAAGCAAAGCTAGTTCACATACATGGGATTTCTTAGGGACCTTATCAGCACTGCTGCAACAGAAAAGCTTTAGCGACAGGAGGCATTATGCTGACTAAATTGGCATTAATCTGTCATTAGCTGAAGCCTGCTCTGTGATCCTGTTGGAGAGGTACCCGTGTTGGCAGTGCACAGCGCTGGGAATTCATGAGCTCGTTAGAGTAACCCTTTGTCTGATCGGCAAGGTTGGCGTTGTGTCAAGTGACCTTGTAGATGCTAATCCCCAGTAGCCTTAATTTAAAATAAACTAAGTAAAATAAGTCTGCTTTGCAGATGTTGGTTAGCTAAGTACTAATTAGAAGTCATGAAGAAGTAGCTGAGTATAAAGAATTTTTTGTTGAACACTAGCTAGCATGTACAATAACTGAGAGAAAAGAATCCTAGACTTCACTTTTCCCTACCGTCTGCTTTGCCAGGTGTGAAGTGCGGAGTATATTAAAATAAAACATAAATCGAAAATAACATTGCTAATCAGTTGTAATAAAATTACTAGGAGTGGCTAATTACACTCATCCGGCACACACCTTTGTCTCAAATGATGTGTGTGGGAAAATGAGAAAGCATCAGAGGCCCAGCCACAGACACAAACAGGTTTCAATACGTGGGATTTTTAGCTGTTACGAGCATCCCTGACAAATTTTGCACCGGTTCTTCCAGCTGATAGAGAAATCTTCCCTATATCTTTCTCCCTAATATTCATTAGACATCCTGTGCACAAATCTAACCCTTCAAAGGACAGCCTGTGCCTGCCTCCTCCAAGGTAATTTTCAGGTTTATCTGGAGAGGTTCTGGCCTGTATCCATCTCCCATATCCATCACCTCATGGTTATTGAAAGCCGTGTTCTCTCTTAGTGCTTTGAGGGCAGTTTTCCAGCAGGACGAGCCTGGCCAGCCTGCTGGGATTGCTGCAGGAAGGTCAGTGGGCATGCACTGATCAGCACCCACTCTACCAGACAGCAACAACCAGTCCCACTGTCCCCACCACTCCCAGGCACTCCGTTGCCACTGCTGCACAGGCAGGACTAGGTGGCACTAGTGAAACCCTCCTGAGCTTCTAACGTACTGGCTCAGTGCAGACACCCACATCCAAAGCAGCCCAGACCTACAGCATTTACTGAAGGTGAACTGGGACACCTTCCACAGTTCCATCTTCGTCTTAATGTTGTGAGAGCAGATGCATGTGACTGAAACTTTTAAATCCTTGCTTTTTATTGAAGCAACTGCATTCCAGCTCTTCTTATAAGATATTTCTAGCCCAGAACCTCATCTCTCCATTTGTTTATGCTCGGTAGTTTTGGGGCTTTAAGGCCAGGTTTGCTTCACATGTTAGAACCGTACAGCACGTGTTTGAAAAAAAACCCTGTGATATAACCCCAGGCCAGTGGAGGTGTAATTCTTCCCACAGTTCACAAAATCTGGAAGAATAAGAATTAGCCTACAGCTGCAGAGGATATAGCTGGAGATAAGACTATTGTGTAAACATTTACAGAGTGAAATAAGGTTATTCTTTTACCTAGCTACCACTGATGATTGGTATTGGTTTATATTATTAGCTATTCTTTTATTTGTCTGCCTCTGCATGTACTTTAAAAGTGATTGATAGCTGGAGTTGTGATAGGAGCATCTGCAGACCTCTGTCAGCAGGACAGAAGTACTGAGATCCACCTTGACTGGAATTTTATGCTTTGCTGCTATTCCCATTTGCGATCATAACTGCCTTCATAAACATAGAGACAAAATTAGCTATCCTGTAGGAAACAGCACAGCAAGTCAGGCACTTCAAGCAATCAGTTAGCAGTTCTCCATACAGGAAGGACGGCAGGCAGCAGCTATTGCTTCACATCACCTCTCAGTTTTGTAGATGCATTCTCCAGTAGTAGTGCATGTGAAAGAGGCAGCCTTCACTCATGTTCCAACCCTAACTGTTCTATGATTCTATGTGTTGTCCAAAGGAATTACTGAGTACATCCTGCATGTAGACTGAATCCATGGAAAATGCCAGTCCCATTTATTCAGCATTCCCAATCAGCTTGCCATGCTCTGGGCCAGAAGATGTGAAGTGATGACTGTGGCTTGTGTGATCTGCAGGAGCCTGATTTGGTTTAGGGTGTTTTGGGAAGGGAAAAGGGAACACTACGCTTGCAAAACTGGCATCCATGTTTTTGTGAGCACTTAGAGTTTGAGAGACACTGAAGAAAGGTCTGTGTTTCAAGATTGTTTGAAGCCCTGCGAGTTCACAGCAGTGGATGTTCCTGAGGTACACAGGGCTGTGCTGCTCCTCTTGCTGTTCTTAGGAGCTTGTAGGATTTTTGTCTTACTGTTAGTGCATTTTGTCTCTTGTTGCTCTGTTACAAAGCATGACCTACACATTTTCTAGACACTGCTGATTAAAACAGTCAGCCGGAAGTGTGTAACTTCTGTAGCTGAGCTCTATGTGCGGAAGTATTGGACACCGGCACCAGAAATGGTCACACATGACCAAGTCCCCATGGTTTAATAACTGCCCCTGCAGGCTGAGCCCCAGCACTTCTCAGCATGTGCTCTGTTCAGTGATGGCAAACGTGCAATAATGCAGCTTACCTTAATTTTCTTTCACTGCAGGCCAGGCTAAGTCGCATTACCTTGCATTTGCTGTGGGCTAGAGTGCACACATGGGCAGCAACCTCGGCTCAGCTGACTCATGGAAACTTGGTGAACTCTGGTAACTGATGTTGAGCCCTAATCCACAGACTAATCTGAGAACGTGGCCGTGGCTGAACGTCTCTCAGTCCATGTGAACCAGGGAACACGGTGACAACTGGCAGGTTCCTGGGGACGCGTGGTGGTGGGGATGGAGCTCCTGCCTCGGAACAAATGGTTTGAGCTCAGCTGTCCGCCTTTTAAAACTCTCTACAATTTTTTAGCCACACTGGTGCAGATGCAATATGACAGCAGTGTAGCATGGTCAGGATACAGGAGGAAGCCTTCAAAAGGTCTTCCTTTTGAAGCCTAGTGTACAAGTGCCAAGTGAAACACGTGTAGGGGAGGGCTGGACAACCCGCACCTCTCTTTGTCTTTCTCATGGTGTGCCCTCGGTTTCCTGGCAAGGTCTTTGGGCTTGGAGTTGGGCGTCAGGTAACTGGTGTCTAGTTCACCTAGAAGACTAGTTCACCTGCCCTTTGCACAACCATTTGGATGTGTTCTTTGCTCTGTGTCTTACTGGGTGGGATCTCATGTAGGAGTCTTACAGTGGGGGAAGTCAGTTTCCTTGGTATCGTGGGTAGAACTTGTGCTTAGAAATGCAGAGACACTTGGCAAGCACAGACAGCAGTGCTCAGAGCTGCATGCGGAGTTTTCCATTGACTGTGCAGTGAGCAGATAAGATACAAAGCAGTGATATGTCAGTCTCATGGTGTGATGTGCTCTGAGATATGGCTAGACCAGAAATGGCACCGTCTAGCTGAGCAGCTCTGTCTGCTGTGTATTCAGGCAGAGGCACTGACAAAATATGCATTTGAATATCTTCATCATGAGCATGCAGCTGCAGGAGAAGCTCTTTCTTACATATAAGCAACAGTGCTGTTCTCCAGGCCCAGGTTAGGAGCTGAACAAACAGCTTCCAGGAAGAGCATAAGGCATTTCCTAAGTGTATTTGAGGGCAAAACATTGCCTACAGGAGCTTTCTTCCTGGTTTGGTAAGCAACAAGGAAAAGCTCTGTTTGGTTCTCAAAGCCCAGGTAATATTTTGCAGGCTGGGGAAGGTGAGAAGAACAGCTGTGTTTTAAGCAAAGGGAGGGAAAAAGCAGCAGGGTTTGTGAATTGACATGGAAAGCAGTGACACTAGAAATCACAGCCATCACTGAGGGGCTGCAGAAGCCATCAGGTGCCTCTGGCATTCAGAGCAGTAGAATGATCTGTTGAATGCAAAGTCAATCTCCTTGTTCCTTGCAGAAACCAACCCTGGCTACCATGGGTGTCTCAGTTAGCAGCACCCCTTACTCCAGCCTGGCATTTGCTGCTGTTGCTTCCAAATCATCCATATTGAGAAGTTGTTTCAGGAGTGGAGATTTTCACAGGATAAAATACGAAGCCTTTCAGATATACTCTCCTTATCTTAAGAAGTAACAGCTGAAAGGGCCAGATGTGAGGGGCTTCTCACAATGTACGGAGTTGATTTCCTCATTACTCTCACAGGTCAAAAGTTATTTTAATGTGTTTACTTGGGATTAAGCTATCACATGTAAAATGCTGACTAATGCACAAGAAATAAGACAAAAACAAGCTTGGGTTGTAGTGAACAATGTGAAAAGGCTAGAGAAATTAAACACTCTAAGAGACATCACTGCCTTCAGATCAGGGGCTGAATTTGAAGGTGAAGCCCCCTTAAGCAATAGTCAGCACAGAATAGCTCCTCTGCACCAGCCCTGTCTGTGGGACCTCCTGGGCTGCTCCATCCCCACGTCACCATGTGATGAGGATGGGAACTCTGGCTCAGATCATATCTGAGGTCATCTGAGCTTATTCAGCCTGCTGAGTGCTTCTGAGATCTCAAGGCACACAATGGTCACCGTCTCCGTAGCATTCTCTTACTGTGCAGCTGAGACACGTCTTAGATCTTCCCCTCTTGCCCTGACCTTACACCAAAGATGTTCTCACCTTCCAGGGCAGGCGCTCAGCGTGTCTGGCTCTCCGAGGCTTTGCTCCCATCTCCTGGTTGGCATGCCCACCCTCATGTGAATGGGTAACAAACATCAGCCCTTGATATCTGGAGGAGCCAACCTTGATGTGCTTGGATTGAACAGGTTCTGATTTGGTTTCCAGCCTTTGGTCCTCCTGTGTGTACCTTGCCAACCACACTATTTATTTCCCACTATTAAGTAATGGCAGTACGAAGCATTTCAAGAACACACTGAACCTCTGGAACAATGCAGTTTTCATGACCGTGTGTTTGTTGATGCCCTGCAGGCTGAACCTGACTGGTGCTCGCTCTCCGCTCCCATGGTTCATTCCACAGGGTGCTGATTTCTTCCAGGCAGGAGCAGTATCTTCCAATGCATCACCATTCAGCGTGCAGTGCCCCAGTGCTGCCTGGAGCACCCACGGGCTGTGGACCAAGAGATTATTTTGTTGCGGCAATGTCAGGTGGAAACTGTCAAAAACACGTGTCGAGAGTGTGAGCTCTGGGTTTCTCCTCCCTGGGGACAGGGGCTTCAGCCATACTCAGGGTTGGCCTCAGGCTCCCGCACGGAGCGGGATGATGGTGATTAGCAAACCCACCTGAGACAATCCTCTTAGATTCTAAACTTCATTTGTGCTGTTAATTGGCTGCGCTCCGAGGGAAGATTAACGGGTCCTGTGTGGTTGGTTGGGGAGAAGTCACAGTTCCCTGACAGCACCAGCTTTTTATTTCCTGTCAGGAGCTTATTCCCATTTCCAGGGCAACCAAATAGTTTTATTAGTATCTGGGAGAAAAGGAAAAACAGAGTTCCAGGAAAAACAGAGTTCCAATCAGATAAGGATCTAAGGAAACTGTCTAAAGACATCATGCTCCATGTTAGCCATGCAAAAGCGCTGCAAGATCATGTTGCTTCGGTATTTTTTGTTTAATTTCCTCATTTGTGTTTTAGTTGTATTCATGGTTCGTTTATTTATTAATTTTGGACTATCTCACATTCAGCCCTGACGGTTGTTTAGCTCCTGTGCTAGCAAAAGTCCCAACGATCCCAAAAGCAGAGCTGCCTGAGCAGCCACTAGCAAGGTGGGCTCACTGCGCCTAGTAAAAACGAAGTGCTTAGTTATGTTAGGGATTATTTTTGTCTGCACATATGCTGCAAGGGGACAGATTGAGCCACGTTTCAATATGCTTATCTCTTCCACTTGCTCACTTCAATTCTGTCTGAACAGCCTCGTAGTTAATATTTGTATATTCAGTTCTGTTCTGCTCTTGAACCAGAGGAGACCAATATTGGCCTCTTCTGATGGAAGTACTTGATACCTTTTGAGTTTTAAATAGTGCTGAGTGAATGACGTGATGGATGCAACAGTAAATAGTTGTACATTTGTGTGCTGGTTTTGGCTGGGGTAGAGTTAATTTACTTCATAGTAGCTGGTAGGGGCTATGTTTTGGATTTGTGTTGGAAACAGAGTTGATAACACAGAGATGTTTTCCTTACTGCTGAGCAGTGCTCACACAGAGTCAAGGCCATTTCTGCTCCTCACCCCACCCCACCAGTGACTATGCTGGGGGTGCACAGGAAGCTGGGAGGGGACACATTCGGAAGAGCTGACCCCAACTGACCAAAAGGGATGTTCCATACTGAGTGATGTCATGCTTACCATAAAAAGGGGGGGGGATAAGAAGGAAGGCGGATGTTCGGAGTGATGGTGTTTGTCTTCCCAAGTAACTGTTACGCATGATGGAGCCCTGCTTTCCTGGGAATGGTTGAGCACCTGCCTGCCCATGGGAAGCGGAGAATGAATTCCTTGTTTTGCTTTGCTTCTGTGCGCAGCTTTTGCTTTACCTGTTGATCTGTCTGTATCTCAACACACAGGTTTTCTCACTTTTACCCTTCCAGTCCTCACCCCCATCCCACCATGGGGATGAGTAAGCAGCTGTGTGGGGCTTAGCGACAGCTGGGGTTAAACCACAACAATTTGTTTGCGTAAACTGGGGCAGATGTTTTGATGCTGTAGAGACTAATAAATTGAGATAAGCCATGACCAA